CTGCCCTCAGCAAGCTGATAGCAGGGGCATCCATTGCATGGCAGAGGGACTGCCCACTGGAGTTGGGAGACCCAGTACAAGGCTGCCTGGTGGGGCTGTAAGCACCAGTGGCTCAGTGGGGCAGAGAGCTGCAGTGCGCGACTGTAGGCGGGACCCAGAGACCCAAACATGCGGCTTCCCTGTAGAACTCGTAGCCCCAGTGTGGTGAACATGCCTGCTCTGAGGGTTCTGGAGTCTCAACATGCACAGCTGCCCTGGAAACCAGTCACATCCCGATTAGCTATACACCTATAATATTCTCTTAATACGTGTGTGTGCGCGCACACATGCGTGCATGCGTGTGCATGCAAGGGGGAGAGAAAGAAAGCAAGCCCCATTCTGGAAACTTCTTGAATTTTGAGGAAATTTCCAGTTTGAGTGTCTGTCTCTCGGTAATGGGCAGGATGCTAATTTAAACATGCCTGAATTTAGAGAAATTTCAGTTTTGAATAAAAATCCTAATATAAATTCCAAAGCTCAGGCCTTGATTTGTGTGGATTTGCATGTTTTAGGCTATAGTTCCCTTTTTTAGCATTCTAATAAGGAACACCTATAAACATATACATACTGGATAATTTATAGTTAACATTAGCATGTAAAAGCAAGATTTATCCTCCAAAACATCCAGATGGCTTTTCTTAATAAGATAAAACTTTAAATATTGTTACCCCCTTGTGGCACATTTCATTATGTGATATAATGGAAAATATGAAATGTCATTTATTGCATCATTTCCTTGATTCCAAGAAAATGATAGTCAGTGGACTATTCAAATCCATCTCAAAGATATTCCAAAGAAGTTTTGGGGATAAGACTGTTTCAGAACTTTGCGTAAAATTTTCTGTGTACTTGATTATATGGTTTTGTTACAATATTTCATTTTTCAACCCACCTAACTGGATGACACATATTTTTAAGGTGATGTCTTCCCTTTCCTTAGTGGTAGCTTGATGCTAACTTTCTGAGGGAAGAAAATGAAATGGATTGACTATTTGTGGCATCTCAACAAACTAGATATATTACCAACTAAGCAACTATTTGGATTTATAGCATATTCCTTAACCATAACTTAAAATGTCCTTATACCGGTCTCAATTTAACCTCTCTTATACATGGATTAATATTAAAGCAAACCTACTCAACACAATATTGTATAGCTAATTAGGACCAGATTGATACCTGCCATTGAGCAAACACTCATCAGGGTAAGGACATGGGATTGGTAAATGGAGTCTCTTCTATGTGGGCTAGAAACTTTTATATAGGCAAAACAAATGGTGTACAAACCACCAAATGAAGTCAGGTAAGAGATGAGACTCAGAGCCTGGAAAATCAATCTTCTGACATATCAATCAATGACACTATTTTGGTGCATGAAGGGAATCAGGGTTCAATGATACCTTTGCATAGTGTACAGTCTGAACTCTTCTGAGCCCTGGGAGGGGTTGTGACTCCTGTAGGAAATACGATGAAATCTATAAATACATCAATCTTTCAGTTAATAAAGGATATTGCCTCAGCAATGCTTGGCACAGGTCATCAGTTGTCATGAAGACCGTGTACGTGAGAAGGAAGTCATCAAGGAGGGTATCTGCAGAGAAAAAACAAAAGAATCAAAAGTCCAGTAAGTTTCAGAGGTAGGAAGGCAGATACCCAGTGGTGCTAATGTGCATGCCAGAAATATGACTTGTTAAAATATTCAGAAGATTCGAGCCCAAGAAATGTATGTGTGTGTGTATTTAGCAATTGTAAGTTTGAAATAATTCACAATATGCTGTCTTTGAGAACATGAGATCTTTATAGAGACATCATAAATGTTCAAATTACCTGTAAATCAGAGAAAACTAAATCAGGCCCTTTGGATAACACTATACATTGTAGGGTTTTAAATAAAAATTGTAAAGCTTCGTTTATAGATCTTTTCTTGCACTGAGAGATGTGAGATTTAAATGGCATTTCATCAATTTAGTAAGCTGAGTCATTTCCAAAAGAATTTATTAAAGCTTATGGCAAGGAGATGGGCATACAGAAGAATGTAATGGGCTTTTGTAGCTTTCTTTTAAGGACTGCTGGTACTATTAGTGAGCAGCATAATACTTGCAAAAACAAAACATGCTGCGATGTATAAGCAGGACTGTTACAAGTAAGACAAGAAGTAATTCTTCTGATCTATTCCTTATCAGTTAGGAGTATCTGTGTGCCACGGTTCAGGAAAGGTGTGGGCAAACTGGAGAATATTCAGAGATGAGAACAAAATGATTAAAGGTCTAGAAAACATGACCTGTGAGGGAAAATTGAAAAAATTGGGTGTGCTTAGTCTGGAGGAGAGAAGACAGAGAGAATATAACAACACTTTTCAAGTATAAAAAAGATTGTTACAAGGAGGAGGGAAAAAATGTGTCTCTTTTAACCTCTTAAGCAATGGACTTAAATTGCACCAAGGGAAATTCAGAAAATCTTGACATTAGGAAAAACTTTCTGTCATGGTGACTAGGGTCTGGAATAAATTACCTAGGGAGGTTATGGAAGCTCTGTCATTAGATATTCTTAAAAACGGGTTAGACAAACCCGTCAGGGATGGTTTAGATCAGAGGTGGGCAAATACTGGCCTGTGGGCTGTATCTGGTCTGTCAGAGTTAGCCCCTAGCAGGTCCCCACTGCTATATTTACCTGCATCTATGCAGGTATAGGCTATTGAAGCACCCACTTGGCTATGAATTGCTGTTCCTGGCCAATGGGAGCTACGGGAAGCGGTTTCCCAGTCCGCTTCAATTCTCAACATTCCCATTGGCTAGGAACAGCAATCTGCAACCAACGGGAGCGGCAATCACCAGTACCTGAGGGGAGACAGGTAATTATAGCAGCAGTGGTTCACCTGAGGCTGCAAACTGCTGCTGTTTTATTGCCCACCCTGGTTGTATGCAGTATCCTGGCCTAGATCTCTCAAGGTCTCTTTCAGTCCTAAAATTCTGATTTTATGCACCAAAAGAAAAAAAAGGAAGGACTTGGCAACAGAGGAATTACTGTTACATTAAACATAAATGGGTATCATTTCCACTCCAGCCCTCCAGAAGATTACACCTTGAGTATGGCCCTCAGGCTTTGGAGTGGGCTTTCCTAGGGCACAGCCAGAGAATAGCCATTCTACTTGGTTTAATCCCACCTGGAAAGAGCAGAGAACGCTGTACAAGACAATGTTGATTCTCTTCTCATTATCTTACATGGAAGTCTATTATGTCTGGTTTTAAATGTGGGGTAGGTGAATAGAGATGTTGTCATAGGAAACATGCATGTCTCAGAATAGTAGTCCTTATTTAACTCTCCTTCATAGTATTCTGCACTTAGACAACTGTGTGGACAAGTCTAAGAACCTTTACCAGCATTCTGCCTTTCTCATCTACTTCTGAGGACATGATTTCTGACATTAAAACTATTAAAGCAGACATTAAATGGGAGACGTTCAGAATACAGATACCCAGTTTTACTTTCTTAATTTAACATTTGTATTTACTTTTTTACGGAATGAAGAACTAAATTTGAAAAAGACTCATAACAATACAGCACAGATGCTATTTAAAAATCTGAGATGACTAGCTCAATAGATAATGAACACCAATCCTATAGTCATGGTATACAAAATATTCCTGTTGCCTTCAAAAAGTCTAACTAGATAAATGCATTTACCAGTCAGTTCAGAAACCAGTCAAGAAAGACTCCTGATAAAAAGATACACATTTAAAACTACTGGCTTGTATATTAAAACTAGGGATGCAAAATAAAAAGCCAACCAACCAAACAAAAAAAACAGTTAAAATAGTAAAGTAACTGCCAAAAATTGTAACATTTGCACAGTTATACACGCTGCAGTCTCTGAAGCATAAGGCATAAACTGTAGAACCTGCAGCACAGACGGCTCCATGGGAGCAGGGCTGGGAGCTGATGTGCACTGGGAGCTAGCTTATATTATATATGAACTTATACTATAAGCCAGCTCCCAGTACGTAGTGGCTCCCGGCTGCCGACCCTGCTCCTGGGGAGTCAGTTACACTGCAGGTGGCAGCCAGCTCCCTGGGAGCAGGGCCGGCAGCCAGGAGCCAGTGTGTGCCAGCGAAGAGAATCACTATAACAAAAAATGATAAGCTGATGCTTAATGGTTAACCTCAGTTAACTAACTCATGCAATTCTTTAGACTATATATTTTACCATTTATTAAATTTTATAGAAATTAATATTTTTGTGTAAAAAGCACATATCTCAAATAAAAAGGCATTGTACAGAGCATGCATTCTAGATAAAAGTGATATCATTCATTCTGATCCATCTCTTTTGGAAGATATAATGCAACTATTAATGTGAAAGGTGTTTTGTTTTGTTCATGCAATTCTTTAGACTATATATTTTACCATTTATTAAATTTTATAGAAATTAATATTTTTGTGTAAAAAGCACATATCTCAAATAAAAAGGCATTGTACAGAGCATGCATTCTAGATAAAAGTGATATCATTCATTCTGATCCATCTCTTTTGGAAGATATAATGCAACTATTAATGTGAAAGGTGTTTTGTTTTGTTTTAAATTCTTTGGAAACTCTTATGCATGGAATCAAGAATTACACCTGATCCCATATCCTAGTTTTTTACAGTACAATTGTAAAATGATCTTTATGGAATACAAAAAATGCATTTACAACAGGTTATTTCCACAAAAGATATTATGAACAGTTATATCTACAAGCAACATGTGAATTCCTACCATGTATAAATAATGGGTTGACATTCAATCATGAAACTTTGGCGAAACTAGAATTAAGAACTGCCTATCTGAAATTTAAAAGAAATGAAATTCATATCAAAAGGCTTTTACTGGGTTAATGTAACTAAGAAAATGCTGTAAACTTTATTATACTAATTAGCAGGGTGGCAGACAGATTTTGCCAGGCTCTGTGCAAGGTGGGTTGAGGCTAACTCTGGGCCCCTGGAAGGGGTGGGGCCTTGAGCAGAAAAAGGCCTGGCTCCAGCAACGATTTAAAGGGCCCCAGGTTCCAGCTGATGCTGTTGCCCCCCATTGTCAGCAGGCCTGCTACTCAGCACTGAAACCATTGATCTGAGATATTGTTTTAGACAGCTCCTTGTCTTGTCTGTTAGGTTCTCTAAGATCAACAACTCTATATTTTAACATTATAAAATAAATATACTGCTTATTTTGGGTAGAAATAGTGTTCAAATTGAAGAGTTATTGATGGGAAGATTTGCATTTTCTAGCCTTCACCCTTCCTCAAATAGCTTAAAATTGTTTATAATCTCTCCGTACATTTTAAAGCTTATGATTCACATCTAATCTACACACAAGAAAGTAAACACACACAGGACAGACATTCTTGCCATTGCAGTTCCATGACTTTTTCAAATGGCTGCTTGGAAATCCAATCCAATACTGTGATATAAGAACAGCCATACTTGGTCAGACCAAAGGTCCATCTAGCCCAGTATCCTGTCTGCCGACGGTGGCCAATACCAGTTGCCCCAGAGGGAGGGATCACTACAGGTAATCATTATAGGATCCCTCTCCTGTCACCCATTTCCAGATAAACAGAGGCTAGGGATACCATTCCTACCAATCCTGGCTAATAGCCAATGATGGACCTAGCCTCCATGAATCTATCTAGCTCTTTTTTGAACCCTGTTAAAGCCCTAATCTTTATCACATTCTCTGGAGTTCCAGAGGTTGACTATGTGCGTAGTGAAGAAAAACTTCCTTTTGTTTGGTTTAAACCTTCTGCCTATTAATTTCATTTGGTGACCCCTAGTTCTTATGTTATGGGAACAAGTAATTAACTTTTCCTTATTCACTTATACCTGTCATGATTTTATAGATCTCTATCATATCCCCCCTTAGTCTCCTCTTTTCTAAGCTGAAAAGTCCAAGTCTTTTTAATCTCTCTTCATATGGGAGCCATTCCAAACCCCTAATCATGTTTGGTGTCCTTTTCAGAACCTTTTCCAATGCCAGATATATGCCAGATCCTCAACTAGTGTAAACTCAATGTGACCTCAATGGAACCTGGGTAATTCACACCAGTTAGGGCTCCACCCCTACTATAAAGCATCTACTTTTCTCTCCATGTACAGAAAAGATTTAGGTGGGTTGTTCCTATCTTCTAATTCCTCCCCAAAAAGGAGATATATCACTAAGCAAAACAAGTATATAGGGAGCTAGTGTGCATGGGTATGTGTAAATAAAAGCAAACTCTGAACATTGACAAGAAACATTAATAAATAGGATTATTGCAGTGCATCTCTGCAATGCTAAGCCTCTCTAAATTGTCTCTCAACTTGTTTAGAAATTGAACCCCCTGAAGGAATATTTTTAACAAAAAGTCTACATGCTACATGTAGTCCAATAATAGATTCACTCATCTGTTAAATTACTTTAACAAGTAAGCAAAGGAAAAGTGCTTTTGACACTCAACATCCTATAACAGTAATTTAATCTAAGTACTGTACAGTAATTATATTTAAAACTCCCTACACTCAAATTCCCCAATGTATCATCATTAACTATAACTATATATTTTCTATTCAGATGTGA